GCTCTGCGACCAGCGCTTTCTTGTCCATACAGAGGTCCGTATGAAGTCATAGATCGAAACTCCAAAACATTGAAAATTAAAATTGGAGAACGCAATGTAAGAGTATCCATCGATCGTGTCAAGCCCGCTTTCACAGAAGACGACTAAAGTACGAGTCCAACTCCATCCAGCGCTACACAACATACTTCCAATCAATATAGAACACGGTTTGGACGGGTAGTTCGTCCTCGCATCCAATAAAATTAATACAATTTTATTGACTCGCCAGGGGGTATTGCAGCGACACTAGCTCTCCTACTATTGAAAAATAGTAGTAAAGAGCTACACTAGCCTCCACACTATTAGGGACCCTAATGCGTGGAGGGGGTCAGGCTACCAGGTATATAACCAAAGCAGCTACCGTCCTCGATCTCTTTTCTCTTCTACTGGTCGAGCAGGCAACACCTAGATAAACTACGGAGTCCAACCAAGGAATACCAAGAATACCGGCATTCAACCAAGAAGATTTTGTAAATTATTATAATTTTGTAATAAACTTTATTTTTCATTTATAGTGTCTTGATTTTTATATGTGGGACCACTCCACATATTAATTAGCTTTTATGAAGACAAAACATAAATTCATAAAAAAATGATGTATCAATTGTATCGAAAGAAACGTTTATAAATTTATTAGCATATTTATGTTATATTGTTGCAGTTTTTTAATATAAAAATTGCAGATTAGATTCTATTTGATGTTTAATACATTTAATTCTACGATAGTCTTACATTAATATTTTAAGTGCTTCTATTTATTAAAATTAATATACATTTTTTGGAAATATTTTCCGTGCCATAGTGCGAATTGATTAAATAGAAGTATTTTATTAGTAGCGTATTTGTATTAGTAGTGCTACTGAAAGAATTTTTTTTATTTGATTTACCAATTTAAAAACAATATCAGATTTTTTAGATAAAATGTTCTGAACAGTTAATTTTATTCAGTTTCTGAACATCATACATGTTTTTAATAAATTAAAAAAACAAGAATTTATGAATCTAATCGTAAAATTGTAATAAATACGCACAAATAATAAAAAATCGACCAAACACAAAGATATATTTTAAGATATTTCTAACATCATCAATAAATATGAAATAAAAAATTAAAAATTACGTTTCTAAAAAACTAAAATTTACAATAAAAATAACTAATTATCAATAGTTTAACTTATAGTGATAAGTTATAAAATATAGAGATCGACACAGAACATGTCGTCCATGGACGGCATCCGTACACATAGAACATCAAAGCAGACGACACTCGTATACACAGGTAGGTCTATAGACGACATTTGTAGCGCAAGGGTTGACTTTTCGCGAAAACATTTATATTTTTCCGCATTTTTACACATTTATTTTTAAGATCTCGTGATGATTATGACATCAAGAAAAATTTAGGACTAAGCCATAGTATCTTGTATATGCATATGATATTTGTAAGTATTTTTATTGAGGGATGCGAATATTCTTAATACTAAAATTGCATTTCTGTAATATAACATAATTTTATTCCTAAGATAATTATAAGATTTACTTTGAGCACTTATATAAGATTATCTCTACTCGAGAAGATTTAACTATTAAAATTAAACTGTCGTATTTTTAGTTGAGAAGATTTTACATAATTTAGATATATGTACAAAATATACAAAAATGTATTAGGTAAATTTTAAATATCAGATAGAGCATCATATTGCTCTTTTCATTGAACAAAAACCATTGTACCATGATTACATTTTTTATTATTTCTGCGAATATATCATAATTTATCATTTATGATTCATAACTCTTGGCTTTTTTAATTCATTTAAAAACATTTATGATTGTTCAAGAACTAAGAAAATCAACTGTTCAAACATTTTATTCTAAAAATATTTTATTTCTTTTAAATTTGTAATTCAAAAAAAAGTTTTCTTCTAAAATTATATTTGTCAGATAATGATGGGTAGTACTGGTCTAGGGCAGGTACGCGATCTGAGTTAAACTTTAACACGATTCAGGAAAAGAGTGTGGAAGATGTCCCATTGCCATTTGACACCGCAGTGCCCAAATTGGGCAATTTTTAATTGGACATTTATATATTTTAAGGTGGATACGTTCCGGTTTGGCCAGGACAGTCCCAGATTTTTACCTTGTATCCAGGGTTTTTCTAAAAGCAATATTTGTGCCGGATTTAGAGCTTTTGTTCCGGATTATCCCGGTTTTTCGAAAACTAATAGGTAAATTAACAAAAATTATAAAAATGAAGGATCAAGTGCAAATTTTTTCAAATTAATTATTGAAAAAATTGAATAAATTTTATACAAGGCTAAAAACCGAGTAAAACAGAAATAAAACATAGATAAAAGAGTATTACATATAATTAAATAATAAAGTTTTTACTGAAAGCCCGCTATTCTGATTTAAAAAAATGATTTAAATAGAAAAAACTGATTTTAGATGATAACTTAAAAATCGCCATCCCGGTTTTGACCTAAAAAAATATGATCACCTTAATATTTTTTATCTATATTTTCAAGTGAAAATGGGTTCGAACTCACGACCCCGTTCTCACGAGACCGTGAACTCAACCATCACACCATGAAGCACCCATTTGTTAATTTTTTTTATATATTTTATTAGTTATTCGATAACTTTTTTAATAAACAGAATCAAAATTAGAAAATATGTTTTCAAGAAATAAAATTGAGAATACATTATTGCTCGTATCAACAATTATTTTCATAAATTATGTAACATAGATAATAGGGCTGCCAAAAAATATATTCATAGGATGGATATCATTTTTATTGTTCCATACATAAATAATAAACATCGTAATGTATTTCTGTCTAATAATGCAGCACTGTAATTTTAAGTTTTTAAGACTTATATAATAGAGATAAATAATTGTCAGATACAAATCAATTGAAAATTCTATCCTTTATTTTGTGCTTTGTTTATTAAATTTATATAATTGTTCATTACTGTTACTAGATGTTAATTATTTAGCAGTTGTAACAAATATAATAATTTTAAAAAAAAATATACAAATCAATGACTTTGAATTATGTATAAAACTATAACAAAATTTTGTCAAAAAAAAATGTCGAAGATTGAATGTACAGATTAGCTTCAAGATTCTAATAACAAGACCATTGGATTTTTACATACAGATTACCCAAGCCTTCAAGATTTTAATAACAAGACCATTGGATTTTTACATTAACCAAGCATTTAAGATTCTAATAAGAAGACCGTTGGATTTTTACATACAGATTGCGATTTCGAAATTCTAATAAGAAGATTATTGGATTTTTTTGTTACCGTTATATATGCACTTTTAGTTAAAATAATAAATTTAAATATTCAGTTATGCTTCAGAATTTTTAAAATAATTTCTCATTGCTAAATGAATAAATTAAAAAAAAACTACACACTAATAGTCAACTTAAAAAATTACTAGAAATTAACTTTGTTAATACAATTTCGATTCGATAGACAGTACCATTTGTTAGTGCATTCTTGAAATTTTTTATTTTTGTATAAATTCATTTACTGTAAAACAAAATGATACATTTAGAAATTTATGCTAAACATTTAGCATTTATGCTAAAAAATATATAAAAAATTATGGACAATTTATGCTTCTAATCAAACTTATTAACTTCCCGTAAGGTAAGTTATTGTAATCGTCCAAAAATCGAAAATGAAAATTTTTGCATTTCTTCACGTCTTGAAGGTTTCTGAACATTTTGGCATACCTCAGAAAAAATTGATGTGTGTGTGTGTGTGTGTATAGATACCATTTTTCGGGCACACGGATCAACCGATTTTAATGGTTCAAAAAACATTCGATTCCTATTGATAGGGAGATGTCCTGATTATTTTTTGGAAAAGGCAGGTCCAGCCGTTTCGGAGATACGGAGCAAAGAATGCAGAAAATAAAAATCGAGTTTTTGAGAGATTGGAGCATCCGATTTGAATAATCTAAAAAACATTAGTAATGATTGGGAGAAGTGGTAATAAGTTCTTGGCAAAGGCAGGCCCAGCCATTTCGAAGATACAGAGCTAAATGTGCAAAAAATGGCAGTTTTTGAGAAAACTAAGCGTCTGATTTAAATGATTCAAGCACTTTCTGCTTGTCTTAACAAAATAATTGATTTTGGAAAAAAAATTTTTTGTTTCAACTTTTTTTTTTTTAAAAAAAAAATTTGTATATCGAAAATAATTCAGATTTTAATTTTAATTCTGACTATAGTTCTAATATACTTTAAACAAATAATTTCAACTTTGCAATTCAGTTTATATAATTCTTATAAATATTAGACAATGTTACAATATTTATAATAATCTATTTGAAAACATCCAGGGAAGTTCCAGCAATTTGCCTTAAGGCACGATGCCATACACCACTAGTTTCTAATTAATTTTGTTGAAAATCTCAGTGAACAAATATGATTAAAGTGCCATTAAAAATTTATTTACACGGTAAGATTAAATTGTTTATTGCTATACCATTTTTTTTATTATCGATGATCACATCATTGTTTATAATTTGGCCTTAAACAATTAAGTTTTTGTTTTAATAACATTTTGAGTAACGTATTAACGAGTTGGTGAATAATATCAAATAATGAATTAATTCCGCATTAAATTATTTTAATTAAGAAATAAGTAGGTATAAATTCTAATATAATGAAATAAATATATAATGAATTGCTAAACGATATTAAGATGACCAATGATTACGATAAATTTAAAAGAAAAATGAAGAAATATTTTAAGGAAATTGAAGACAAAGAAGACTGAAGAGTTATATGAAGATATTTTAATTATAATAGATATTATTTTAATGAAATAGTCAAATGAAATGTATATATAAAAAATGAAAACTGTTTTCATAATCTCTCATACCAGGCACCTCTGTATATAATATATAAATAAATTTAAAAAAATACATATTTAAATATTACCTGTACATCAACAGCGATTAACACAATTAAGAACTTAATTGCTAAAGGTGTTTTAATCCATGTTCTTGGTATAAGATTTCATAAAATGCTGTAAAATCCAGGCAAGGGCTGAAGAATTAATCGACACACAGCACAAATCACTTAAACAATTACAAAAATATAAGACATAAATATATTTTGTTTTATAAAATTATTATTTTGATATATTATTGCTTCGACAATATTATAAAATATTCATAAATCGATTCTGATCACAATATTTTAACACTTCTATCCACATGAAATTATAACAAATTTAAAATTTATTTACTTTTAACTGTTGGAAATGTGCGCGGCCAAACATTTCCATTGAACAACAATAAACTTTCCAAATTTGTGCATATACAAACATGCTTATGGTTTTTTAAACGGTCTGTAATAATTAACAAAATAATTTAATGTTATTATAAATATTTATATGTATAAATAAATCGGATTTTACGCACAGATAGATGCCGAAACGCGTATTTTGCGCTCCGTACATTTTGTCAGACTGAAAATCAATATTTGTGTGAAGTGTCAGAAGACTGACTGTGTGTGGATTCGGTTCACGTGTAGATGTGGAGGTACTATATGCGTATACTCTTCGGCAGCGATTCTCAAAATTAAGAAGATGACACCGAATTATTTATATAATTTGGAAAATGATTTTTAACTTCCTGAAGAAGTAGAAGTTTTGCAAAAAAATCTTATTATATAATTTTATGTTTTGTCGATGTCTCAAGTCATTCTGAATCGAATTAGACAAAATTTGAAAAAAAGTATGATTTTTCTTTGTATAGTGAAGAAAATGCGTTTATCCATTCCAGGCTAGGTCTTTTGTCTGCGTATGTCGGACTCAATATCGCCTGGGTATAACACCGACTAAAACCTCCGCTTTGCCCTTGCCTCTGGTCCCCATGGAAACCGCCGTTAGGGAGCGTCCATTAATCACGTGAGCAAGTTTTTAAGGATTTTTGGACTCCCCCTCCCCCTTGGGGATATTCAAAATTACCTCCCTCCCCCACCAAACATTACGTGTATTTTTAGTTACGTAAAAAAACTAATTTTTTTTTTAAATGTTTGAACCTTTTTGAAAAAAATAGTTAAAAAATAAATACACGTGATATCTTACTATACTCCTCCCTCCCCCACGTGATTTTCGTGATTTTTTGTCAAACTACCCTCCCCCTAAAAACATCACGTGATTAATGGTCGCCCCCTTAGACATTACTTCATGGGGGGAGGATCTAGAATGTGTTTTCGTCGACAATTTCGAAAACATGAGTCAACCGATTTGAATAATTCAAAAAACATTCGATTCATATTGCTTAATCCACTACTTTCAGAAACTAGAAGCCCATCCAAATAAAATAGTTGCACAACTGCTTGAGATACCACATTCCAGCAGACTCCAGCGAAAATCACCAATTAATATATAATAATATCCTAATCTAGCAAATTGTTTAAGAGAACAATTTCTATATTTTTTAGTAAATCATCAAAATATGTTAGTTTATTTAATGTGTTTTTTGTAATATTATTATAATGTATAATATTATTTTTATTTATTAGTTTTATTATTATCTATTATTATTATTATTATTTACTATTTTTATGTTATTATCTTTATTTATTCTTATTTAGTTTATTCTTTTTTAGTATATTTTAGCATAGCAGCTCATAAAATGTAATTGCTGTTCTGATTGCTGTATAATAATAAATAAATAAAAAAATACTGCTTATTAATTATTAAAATTATTTTTTGGCAGAGGCAGCTATTTCGAAGGTAGAGGGTAAAAAGTTCCAAAAATGGTAATTCAGGTTTCAGAAACTGCCATTAGGTATTACTTCATGGGGGGAGGATTCAGAATGCTAGAAATCTCTGTCTGAAATGTCGTTAAACGCAGCCTCAGTTGTCAGCATCACTTTTTTTTAAAAAAAAGTATGTGTGTGTATATGTATGTGATTCTATATTTGGGCATTTCGTCGATGATTTTTCAAAAACATTTGGACCGATTTCGTTTGGGCGCGATAAACAGCCAAGCCGTTTTTTTTGTAATTAGCAAAAAGTGTGAAATTTTTCGCAAACATTATAGCACACAATCTTGAACCGATTTTAAAAATTCAAAAACTGTTCGAATGGTATTGGTTGTGAATCGCGTTGATTAGTTTTTGGTAAAGGTCGGCTGGGTCTTCTGAAATAATATACTAAAATACCATAGACTTACAATAAACTGTTGAATTATAAAAATTCATTAAAGTTCAAGTCGTCGCAAGCTTGATTCTAATCACAATCTGTGCCAAAGCATATGTAAATTCTTTGGTGTTTCGTAGATTGCTACTGATTACAGTTGACCACCACACATAAAAAAATACATTTTTAGGGTGCAAAATTTAAGTATTTACAGACTTACAGCTGATTATCTGGAATTCCGAGGTGAACTTACTATATATACTATACTGATTAGACTAAAATATCAATTCATATTGAATAAGTCGATTATTTACACATGTCAGAAAAGTTTTTGCAAATATAGCTTTAAGACATAATACCCCTTACATGTAATTTTTCTGTTTTTATTAAGAAAATCAATCAGAACTATTCTCAGGATTCTTTGAACTGTTGTAATATATTTTGTACTACCTAGTTTGTAATTTGAAAGCATCCCAATGGTTTTCCAATCATATTTTCAAATATGAACCAAAAATATGATACTGATATGACATTGTGCGTAACCCTGGATTTGAACTGGTAACCTTGTGGTTGCAAAGCCCTGGTTCTAACTACCAACATACTTATTTCAGAATAGACCTATGTATCACCAAATTTGAAAAAAAACAACAAAATAATTAAATATACAAACAACAACAGCTACAGAAGAATATGAAGGTAGTATTAAATTATGAAGTATTATTTATGTCCTTTGAAAATTTAATTTCAGCCAGAAAAACATCCATCATAATCATATATTATGAAATTGTTTTGTTCTCTTATTTTTGAGCAGATATCAGAACTTAGCAACATGAAACTTCTCTTCAACTACATAGCTTATTTCAGTAGGATACCCAATTCACTTTCGCAAAAAAAAAATCGAAAAGATCGATTTCTAATTGATGTCCTTCAAACTTATAATATATGTAATTGTATAAATTAAACAGATTTGCTGACCACATTTCATTTTGTCCCATTCTAGTTCTAAAAGTGTATTTTATTTAATTGTGGGCGTCAACTGTAATCAGTAGCTCCTTACGAAACACCACTGAACGCACATACATATGCCTTCGGCACAGATTCTGATCAGAATCAAGACATATCTATTTGCAATAAATTGTTATTATTAGAAATACTTTAAAGCCAGAGAATAACCGCTTTCACTTCGAAACATATGATAGAAATAAATTTTTAAATGAAAACAGATATGACAACTACTTGATATCAAACTGGTGGAGGTTGATATCGAATGCTACGGATGTAAAGCCAGAGGCCAGAGCTCTAACCACTAAACCACGGCAAGCCTATGAGATCTGTCAATATAAATTATGTATAGGTTTTCGTAAACTATTTATAATCGTTAGGTACTTAGTTAGTGATTATTATCAGATAAAAGAATTTCAGGAATGTTGTTTATCCATTATTTCGCTTATCATTTATCAACAAACATCCTAAAACGGTATTACTCTAGGTTTACGATTGTAGATCCGATGCTCTGTCAAAAGTGTTTGCATAGAGCTTAAGTGTTTACTTATTAGAAATTGACTTGGGTGATTTAATTGTGTTTACATTTAAGATAATATCGTAAATCCTAATAATAACAATAATTATTAAATAAACAGTATTGTACATTGTTAATTGATATATTATATATCAATTTATAGTGATTTTTACTAAAACAATCACTTTACTACGTGACTGTCATTCGAATGACTTTTAAGTGTCACCATGCGTGTCACCTAATACTTAAGAACATCAGCATTTATTAATTCTAGTTTCCTTTATTTAAAATAGAACTACTTTGAAAAATAATTTTTGACTTGTTAAAGATTATGAACTTAAAAACGATTACTTACAAATTACATCTGTCTTTGGCATCGAATTACATCTGTCTCGAACCATAAAATATGACACAAATAGAAAAATGGCGGTTTTACGGATACAACAGTTAATAGATGATTATGCACCATATTTAAATAATTCCATAATTGTTTACGATAGTAATTACACACACAAATTGTTATTTTTATTGGTTTCATTTTTTAACTACAGTTTTGCGTTTAAGGCGGGAACAAAATTATTATATATTTTTCACTATATGATGTTTACTCGACCAAATCTAAAAGTGCACTGACATTTTTTTTAATTTGCAAAGTAAGACCTGAAGTAGTTTGCAATTGCAGCGTACTTCACTTTGATGCACGTCTTGCGTTTTTAAATCTGACATTTGTGCATAATTTGAAATATAAAATAAAATTTCACAAAACTAAACAGCCTAGTTCAATTAATTTAAATTTGTTTCATATATTTTACAAAATATGTATTTCTAGTTTTGGTAATTGTAATTATAAATTATCCTCAAATTGTTTCTTTACCAACTTCGCACGGTAAGTTGATTTCATAAACCAATGGTTCCAAAGTGTCAAAATTCAAATTAACATTTGTAGGGTTCTAAAACTATAAGGTCAGAAATTTGAAAATCATATTGAAAATTTTCAAGGAAGAAAAGTCGGTTGTTTCTCTGATATTTTCTCTAAACATTTTTTTTATTACCATATAATTACAATCTGCCTAGTAAGGCATTCAGTAATTTTAGTGACAAATGTGTAAATATGAGATTTTAAAACTCTACCCAGTGGTAGTCATTTTAGGTTTGAAAATGCATGAGATAAAATTACAGAACTGTAGTAATAACTTTACATTATATGTTATTTGTTAAACCTAGAGGGTTTGTTTTTTTTAAATCTTCTGGTTATATTTGATGAAAGCAAGTCTTTGACGAGTTGATTCGGATGATCTTCTAGTGAGCTTTTTTACTTAGATGCATGTCTTCTGATTTCTTCTGCTGACAATTTGGGACATACTTGTCCCCCTAGTATTTTTTTAATAATTTTATTTTGTAACCTTTGTAAAATGTTTATAATGGTCTGACATTATACACATTCTAACATCTAACACGTTAATCGCCAAGTCAGTCATATGTGTCTGACTGACCCAATTTGGTAGAAGGTGAAACAAGTTATAATAAGGACCATGTCAGTCATATATGTTTGAAATAAAAAATAGTGTTTTTGCAGAAAAAAATTCTTTGATACATCAAGTTTTCTCCATACATTTTTAACTATTTTTTTTAATAAAGTTACCATGCCTCCATAGATGAGGAACATTTTTCTGATATTATTGTGGTGTTTAACGTGTTAATCTTGAAGCACAAAGTCCAAGATGGAAATCAAGACTAGAATTTAAATAATGTTTGAT